ATTATTTGGGTCATTCCTGGGATTCGGTAATATTTCAGTCCCCCAGAGTTTCTAAAGTGGTGGTTCACCAAAATTAATTGTTAGAAGCTTTTCACAAAACTTTGGGATGCCCTTTATAACGAATAAAAATAATTATTGCATTTTAATATTTTTTAGCATAAAATAATGTCTTATATATATCTTAAACCAAGCATTTTGTCATGTCCCTGAGGCACTTCACTGAGTTTGTACTTAGAAAACTATTAACAAAATGTGCATAGTGTTTGTGATGTTTGGCATCAATGTAAGCATTTATGTGTGTTCCTTTCTTGTAAAAAATATTTTTCAAAAAAAGAAAGCAAAATATTTTATAAAAACAGACTAAACTTTATGTTCCTCAGTCTGAACTCAACCCTGTCACACTAACCATTCTGCACCCATAATCATTTAGACTCCACTCATATGTGACATAATTTCCCAGTAAAGACATGTGTTACAGTCTTCAACCCCGTCACACCTTGTCACATTAATATTTTTAGAAAAATACAAGGAAGACAATTAAAGGGTTAGTTCACCCAAAAATGAAAATTAGCCCATAAATTACTCACCCTCAAGTCATCCTAGGTGTATATGACTTTCTTCTTTCAGACGAATCCAGTCGGAGTTACATTAAAAATTTTATTTGATCTTTCAAGCTGTTTAATGTCACTCGGCGGGTGTTGCATGCATCAGTCCAAAAGAAGTTAAATAAAAAGCGTCCATCCATAAAAAAAAAAAAAGTGTCTCACACGGCTCCGGGGGGTGAACAAAGGCCTCCTGTATATATATATATATATATATATATATATTTATATATATATATAGATAGATAGATAGACAATATTTATTATTTTAAATTGTAATAACGTTTCACAATGTTACTGTTTTTATTGTATTTTTTATCCAATAAATGATCAAATATAACATTTAAAAAAAAAAAAACTCTGAATTGTAGTGTATATCAGTCAAATATAGTACATACTTGTTCAGGGTGGTCATCTGTGTCCTCCTCCATGATATTCTGAGACTGGGATTGTACCTGGTCAATTTCTGTGCTCAAAGGCATGGAAATGGATGGTTTCTCAGACGTTATCTGTTTCTTTGTACTGCAAAGCCTGACAATGAAGAAATCCTCTTAAAACCAAAAATCCCAAATAATATCGTTATCAATAAGTAACGGTTTTGTACTTTATAGTGAACAAAATAAGCAAAAAAACCTTCCATAGCAAATATTAAGATATAAAAAAAATGCAGCATATTTACCCAAGACTTTTTCTAATTAAATGACCTCGAATCCAGCGCTGCATAATAAGTGTAGGGGAATAAACGGCCTGAATCCTGTTTATCTCAGAGATTATTTTATATGTCGCTTTCATCTCTGTCTCAAATGAATCCTGAGGAAAAAGAAAACATCCAACTAAGTTTTTTTTTCCACTTAGACATAGCAGTAAACACAACAAAGAAGACTAGGATAAATAATGAGCACTAACCGACTTCGTAGATGGGTACAAACTGACACAAGAGTGTTGATTCATGGCTTTGAATCGAATAGGAAGAGACCAAGGAAAACCAGTCTCCTCTTGGCTTATATCGAAATCCTCCGACATTCTTCTTTACAAATCCTCGTTTTGTGCTTCTAATAAGTGACCGTTGTTATGTTTTGACCTCTCCCCTGCACTTCCTCGTGCGTCACTTCTGAGCAGCGCATGCGCAAAGCTGACCTCCTGTTTTTATGGATGGGCGCTTTTTATTTAACTTCTTTTGGACTGATGCATGCAACACCCGCTGAGTGGCATTAAACAGCTTGAAAGATCAAAGGCAATTTTTTATATAACTCCGACTGGATTCGTCTGAAAGAAGAAAGTCATATACACCTAGGATGACTTGAGGGTGAGTAATTTATGGGCTAATTTTCATTTTGGGTGAACTAACCCTTTAAGAACAAATGTATTTCTTGCTGATTACTATCTGACATGTTAAGGGCTAAAACAATAAAATTGTGGTTTTAGTTAAAATTTTAAATTAAAAATATTTTTTACAAAAATAAAAGAACGTAGACACACAATTTTTAGCTTCAGTCCTGTAAAAATGTGACAATTATGATAAATGTTACATTTGTTATCATTAAATTGTTATCAGGGACACATGAGCAGTAGGTACATGTTTGTTTTATAACAATTTCTGTGTAAAATCCTTTTAAAACCAATCCCATTTTGTCCGTTACAGGGTTGAGAAAAAAAAAGTGTCTAAAGCTGAAAAAATGTGAAAATAATAAAAGGTCTTTAATGCCTGAGGTGGGAAAATATGATTTTTTTGGAGGTTTGATATGTGCCTATGATGTGGGGTATTTAGAAGTTGAATCACATGTAGTTGAAAAACATGTATATTCCAAGTTGAAATCTTACCGAATCCCAGGAATGACCCATTTGCTGCTCATGAGGGTTTCTATAACTATAAGAGGAGTAAAAGTTATTTATTTCCCATCCACAGGTAAAGAAGTTCAGTCTGATGAATTCTGGGATCTTGTGGTCATCACTGCAGTGGATGAGGATCAGAGGTCTGCTTATGAAATTCAGATCACTGAGAAGCTGGAGAGGAAAGAACTGCCTCTTGGCATCAATTATCATGTGTTTGCAGATCCTCCAGGATGCAAGATTGGTGAGATATATTAAATATATATTTTAAAAATTGTATTTAATGTACATTTTTAAGAGTTATTTCTTCATCTGAACATACAGGTAATGGTGGATCAACTTTACATTCACTGCAGTGTCTACATGGTAAATATGGTAAGTCACTGTCAGGATTTAAAGTTATCCTTATTCATGCAGGTACTGTATTAATCTATATAATATTCATCACCTCATTCATGCATTTTGTTTATTGTTAATGAGCAGTAATGTGCTATTCAAAAGTTTGGGGTCAGAAAGATTTTTTACATGTTTTTGAAAGAAATCTCTTATGCTTACCAAGGCTGCATTTATTTATTGAAAAATATAGTAAAACAAAACAAAACAAAAAAATAAATAAATAAAATACACTGTGACACATTATTACATTTCAAAATGACTGTTTCTGTTATATATATATATATTTTAGATATATTTTTTAGAATGTAATGTAAAGGTAATTTATTACTGTGATGTCAAAGATCAATTTTCAGCGTACATTACGCCAGTCTTCAGTGTCACATGATCCTTCAGAAATCCCTCAAATGTGCTAATTTGGTGCTCAAGAAATGTTTTCTTTTATAATTATCAATGTACGAAGACAGTTACGCTGCTTAATATTTTTGTGGAAACCTTGTTACATTTCTTTTCAGGATTCTATGATGAATAGAAAGTTAAAAAGGCAAGGCAAGGCAAGTTTATTTATATTGCACATTTCATACACAATGGTAATTCAAAGTGCTTTACATAAAAGGAAGTCAAATAATCATAACAAATAATCACCACAATAAAACAAGAGACCATTACAATAGTCCACCCTGCTGGTGATAAAGGCATGAACAAGTTGAAGGCATGAACAAAAAGAACAGCAATTATTTGAAATAGAAATCTTGGATATATTAATTTGTATGCTTTTGTTAAAATGTACATATGCAGGAGGATTCAGTCAACGTTTGCCCAGTGCCAGTGCCCTGGGTAAAATACTCACAGCTGTGCCCCTGGGAAACCCTATATATCAAATGCTGGAGCTCAAACTTGCAATGTATGTGCTCAAACTTGCTCTCAATTTCTGCACAAGAGAGAAAGAGCTACTGTGTATTACACGGAAAACACTGCCAACGTCACAAAGAAGGAAAATGGTCTTGTTGAGATTCGCAGAAAGATTTTCCATCGTCTCAAAGGCACGGCACTAAGCGTCATCCTGTTGAACAACTCCAAGTTTTATCATGTCGGCACCACAGAGGAATACTTGTTCCACTTCACCGCTGACCCCTGTCTCAGAGCAGAACTCGGCCTGCTCTCTGCTGCCTTCAGTGTGTGCGACTTGGAGCCATCAGAGAAAACTAGAGTTTGCAAGCATCCTGCATCCCAGTGTGACTGTATCCCAGGGCAGTGTTGTGGAATACTCCAGACTGGATGCTAGAGTTAAAGTCGGAAGTAGATCTATCATCAGCGGCTGCTGGATAGGCACGGATCTAACAGTGCCAAGTGACACCTTCATACACTCTTTGTCTATAAACCTGGATGGAAAAACAGGTTTTGTGACTGGTTTTTGGTGTTAAAGATGATCTGAAGAAAAGTGTATCCAGTCCTGCTCATATGAAAGCATTGAGTTTGTTTAAGATTAATCTGGAGGACTGTGTTGGACTCTGGGGTTTGTTTCCTGAGAAGGTCAGGTTCTCAGGAGACACATCTGTAGTTTGTGGAACGCCTGCATTTTCCCAGTGTGCTCCAATCTAAAGGATTCATTTGTGATGTCACTGGGGATGCTGAAGGCACTGGATAGTGGAACCATTTTTACACTACCAAAAAAAGCCACACTAACCTCTTTACAAGAAACTCTGCAGAACAAGAACCTGGAGGAAATGCTGAAATTTAGGAAAGAACTTTATGAAGACATTCTTAGGGTGAATTTAAGTACTTCGGTCTGAGCATATGTGTGTAAATTATCAATAATTTCATTGCGTATACTGCTGAGCAAAGGCAAAGCCTTGTAAGTACTGAGACAATGCCTTCAAAGTTGTTTTTACTAAATTGATTCGATATCAGTTTTCACACACTGTTTTCTCTAAATCTGAGCAAACCGTATGCCACAGTAGAGATAGTCCTGATTTTAGTCTCAAAACTCAGTTTTGACAAAAGGTTACTACTTTTTGCCTTGTAGGGCAGTATAGCCATGCAACGCTGTCTTGTGGCCAATTTGTACGTATTTTACGAGGTAGCTAATTTGAACAAATTCGTACCTTACTCGACCTTACTCGTACGATTTTGTATAATTTCTGTCAGTTAATTTTAGGGGCGGGGTTAGGTGTGGTCCTTCGTACAAATTCCTACGAATTTGCCACCTCGTAAAATACATACCATTTTTCACAAATTCGTACGAGTGAGTTTGTACAAATTAGCCACCTTGTCAAAAATGTACGCATTGCCATGAGATCAGGTTGAGCCATGTGATGAAAATCTTAAATTGCCCATAACAAACACTATAGAAATACCAAGACAGTGCACTCACATTGCTACGAATGGGAGAAAGTGCAACATGCAATATGGTGGAATAAATCCCTCCTTCTGAATAAAAGAGCCAATTGGCAGTTAGTAAAGTCATGCGTCGCTGCAGCTGCCATTAAGAGCTTCGTTTGCCATAGCAACAGTCAGTGTCCTGAGATGCACTTGCACGCTGGCTGGGCCAGTCTGGAATATAAGCTTTTTTTCATGCTATTTGAGCATACGAAACAACTTTTATAGGACATTTCATGCCAGATGTTGTTGCTGATTAGAAATATGTTATTTAAATATCAGTGTGGCAAGCAGTTTTTAAGATTTCAGGATTTCACCATTTGAGTAGATAGAACTTGCATGTCCAAAATAGCTGCCCTTAGGCATTGCAAATATGGCTGCTGAGTAAACAGGCTATGCCTGTAATAACATTCTATTTGTTATGAATGCCAATTAGTATTTGTATACCAATTGTATTCTGTGATACTAATTCACTAAATGGTTGTACCAAACCTAGTCAGTGTTTTTTTTTTTAAGATTTATTTTTGGCATTTTTACCTTTATTAGATAGAACAGTATTTCAGACAGGAATTGAGGTGGGACGGGATTAGGAAAAGTGCACAAATTGGGAGTCAAACTTGTGACGCCCCAAAGTGCAACAACGCTATATGTTGGTGCGCTGCCCACGAGGCTATTTGTGCCGACGTCAGTGTTTTTCAATTCAATGTTTATTTTTGTTTTTCCCAGGCATGTTTGTTTATTAAATTTGTGTTGGATCAATTTAATTTTGTGTGTGCAGAGTTATTCCTTCTACTATGTTTAAATATTTATCTTACTTGGTGCATCTTCACAAAACACCAATCAAGGCATTAGAGAGGTGTGTCCAAATCATGTGTGTAATCTCATACACAATTATCATTTAATTTACCCATTTTAAACTTCGTTGTTCAGGAAACATTTCTTATATTTTTGTGGAAATAGTGATATGTTTGGTCAGAAAGTTTATTTTATGATTTTTTTTTTTTTTTTTACATTTTACTGTCAATGGAATGTATCCTTGCTTAAAAGTATTAACTTCTTTCAAAAAAATAAAAATCTTACTGACCCCAAATTTTGAATGGTAGTGCATTTCCTTTATAGAACACAGAATCATCTGTTTTAGTCACATCCAAGTTCAGAGAGGGAAAGATAGAGAAATATTGATGAGTCTTGATGCAGCTGTTGTCTGAAGAGAGAAATCGACCGTGGCTTCACCCTGTAATAGGTACAGATCCTTAGAGAGGTCAGCTGTCATTGTTGTCACACGTTCCACACCGAGGCTGATGTATTTTTAGCAGGGGCTGTGATCCCTTATCGGACTCTTCTCTATTGTGCCAAAGCATTGTGTTA